GTTCCTAATGTATCACAGTGTGTATTTCAATGTGTAGTCCTTTGTTCTTTAAGGAGGGGAGTATAAAAACTGAAGTCTAATCACGCCCTCCTCGTTCAGAATTGCCTATCTCTAATATGCTCTGGACCTTGCGCAATTAAACTTCTCTGCTAACCCCTCCGGAATTCGTAAGAGTTCTTTCGTTTTCCACAAGACTATGGCAATCGTAATATGTAAAAAAAGTCCTGAAGTATAGAATAAACCAGTGGTGGCGAACCTATGGCACGGGTGCCAGAGGCGGCACTCAGAGCCCTCTCTATGGGCACACGTGCTGTCGCCCCAGTCCTAGGCCTTCAGCTAGGTTTTATAAAACCTTTTCACTTTAGGCCTCTGCTGCCATGTGCAAAAAAAAAAAGGTTCAATCAATCAGTCAATTTCAAGTTCTCATGGAAAAAAAAGATCTTGCAAAGTTGGAAGTAATTGATTGAACTTTTTAGTCCCACCCAGTCTGCCGTTACCACCGCAGCCACACCTACCCAGTGGGCCACACCCACCAATTGGCCACACCCAGCCAATGGGCCACACCCACCCGGCACCCAACGATGCATAAGTGGGTTTTGGGTTGCAGTTTGGGCACTCGGTCTCTAAAAGGTTTGCCATCACTGGAATAAACTCTTAAGCTAAAAGCAATATCTAACCACAGAACTAGAATGGCCTCTGATTATATTATTTGTCCTTTGATATAGACCAGGGGTAGGCAACCTTGGCTCTTTTAGGACACGTGGACTTCAATTCCCAGAATTCCTGAGCCAGCACGGCTGGCTCAGGAATTCTGGGAGTTGAAGTCCACGCATCCTAAAAGAGCCAAGGTTGCCTACCCCTGATATAGACTAAGGGCCTGTGGACTCTGTGTTGTGGAATCTTCTCCCTACTTCCTGGGGGAACTTAGCTATGCCAGCAGGCTTGGGGACCCCAGGGGATGGGTGAAAAGGTCCATTACTATTATCATCCCTTCGACTAAGCTGTTTTTATCATTTTTAATGCTTTAATATTGGTTTAATGATGATTTTAGATATTTATTTAGCTTTGTTGCATGCTGCCCAGAGTCACTTGTGACATGGGCAGCTCTATACATTATATAAATAAAAAAAATATATAAACACCTGGCTATCAAATATATGTTTGTTTGACTGATGAACTGGGTTTTTTTTTTAAATCAGTGGTTTTTTAAAATGATTAGATACCAAAGTCTGGTAAGTCAGAAATGCTGAGCTGCTGCTTTCTTGTATTTTTCTGAGAATACCATTCATGTATCCTCGTACTATGAATGGGACAGAAGCTCTGCTCTCAACTTTAGCATCAATCTGAATTTAATTAATTCCCTCCCTTTGGCTAAGCTGCTTCAAATAAGCAAACAGGTAAACATGTTTATTACACTGAATGGGTTTTTCAACAGGGGACTGAAACCATACCTACTGTACATAAGATCCTGCTGAAAGAACATTTCAGAGCCACTTGTAAGCTAATTAAGTATTAACTTAAGGAATGGTTGTTGGAATTGGGTATGTCTAGTTTAACAAAGAGAAGGACGAGGGGGGACATGATAGCAGTGTTCCAATATCTCAGGGGCTGCCACAAAGAAGAGGGAGTCAAGCTATTCTCCAAAGTGCCTGAAGGCAGGACAAGAAGCAACGGAAGGAAACTAATCAAGGAGAGAAGCAACCTAGAACTAAGGAGAAACTTCCTGACAGTTAGAACAATTAACCAGTGGAACCACCTGCCTCCAGAAGCGGTGAATGCTCCAACACTGGAGGTTTTTAAGAAGAGACTAGACAGCCATTTGTCTGAAATGGTATAGGGTTTCCTGCCTGAGCAGGGGGTTGGACTAGATGACCTCCAAGGTCCCTTCCAATTTTATTAATTATTATTATTATTATTATTATTATTATTATTATTATTATTATTATTATTATTATTATTATTATTATTATTATTATTATTATTATTATTATTATTATTATTATTATATCATCATCATCATCATCATCATCATCATCATGACCTCCTTGACCTGGATTGTGCTTTATGCAGGCGGTCAGATTCCTGCAGACTCTGAACCTTCCTGATTGTGCTGCCTGTTTGCGAGGCGGTCAGGGTGGAGGGAGAGGACCTTGGATGATGCTGCAGGAAGAGCCGTTCATCTTTCTTTCTGGTCCAAAGCTAGCACACCCTCCAGAGGCGCACCTTGGGAAGCGTGCAAGCATGTACCACAACAGAGCTAGTAAATTGGCAGCCAAACTACTACTCTGCATTAGCACTACAATCTCCTGGCTAATGTAACAATGCCATACAAGAACAACAACAATAAATAACAAAATATTTGATTTGCAAATTGAAGTTGAATGATTGTGGAGGAAGAAATCGATGGTAGTAATAAGAAGTCTTGAAACAATACCAAAAAGCGCTGTCTAGATACATGGAAATTTTGAACTTATTAGACCTGAATATTCTGACTTTGGAAAAAGCCCCCTTACTTGAAAGTGCCCACATACTCAAAGGTTACCTTAACAGCTCTTAGGTCCTTATTTAGGACTTGAACTGTTAAGCTTTTACCAGTCTCAGACTATGAATCGAATTAAAGATTAAATCTGTAGTAGTAGTAGTAGTAGTAGTAGTAGTAGTAATTCCATTCTGCAGTTAATAAATAAATACTCTGTTAAAGGTCCTACATGAATGAATGCTGTGAAAAACTGAAGCCAAAAGAAGTTTAATAAGACAGCTAATAACAATGTCAAAAATGCAAAGATCAAAAGGCACTGAATTTTACAATTCTTTATATGCTCTATTGTACATGATAATTAAAATATGCATTAACAAGTTTTCTGCACTACTATGGAAAATAAATTTCTGATATGCTGAAGGACCATATTTTAAGAACTGCATCATCTCTCTTCTCTTCATTAAAGTTTTTTAAAGAAAAGCATTCTGCAAAGCAGCTGTCAAATCCATAATATATGGAACACTTTAAGCTAATTTATAACATTTACAAAGTTAAAAGGTGCACTAAAGGGAAAAAAAGAATAAAAT